CACTTCACATCCCACCAAACCACTTTCCACCTCCACATCCACATCCAGTCACTTCACATCCCACCTAAACCACTTTCCACCTCCACATCCACCCACATCCAGTCACTTCACATCCCACCTAAACCACTTTCCACTCCACATCCACCCACATCCAGTCACTTCACATCCCACCTAAACCACTTTCCACCTCCACATCCACCCCATCCAGGCTCCACACCATCCCACCTAAACCACTTTCCACCTCCACATCCACACATCCAGTCACTTCACATCCCACCTAAACCACTTTCCACCTCCACATCCAGTCACTTCACATCCCACCTAAACCACTTTCCACCTCCACATCCCCCACATCCAGTCACTTCACATCCCACCTAAACCACTTTCCACCTCCACATCCACCCACATCCAGTCACTTCACATCCCACCTAAACCCACTTTCCACCTCCACATCCACCCACATCCAGTCACTTCACATCCCACCTAAACCACTTTCCACCTCCACATCCACCCACATCCAGTCACTTCACATCCCACCTAAACCACTTTCCACCTCCACATCCACCCACATCCAGTCACTTCACATCCCACCTAAACCACTTCCACCTCCACATCCACCCACATCCAGTCACTTCACATCCCACCTAAACCACTTTCCACCTCCACATCCACCCACATCCAGTCACTTCACATTCCACCTAAACCACTTTCCACCTCCACATCCATCCACATCCAGTCACTTCACATCCCACCTAAACCACTTTCTCACCTCCACATCCACCCACATCCAGTCACTTCACATCCCACCTAAACCACTTTCCACCTCCACATCCACATCCAGTCACTTCACATCCCACCTAAACCACTTTCCACCTCCACATCCACCCACATCCAGTCACTTCACATCCCACCTAAACCACTTTCCACCTCCACATCCACCCACATCCAGTCACTTCACATCCCACCTAAACCACTTTCCACCTCCACATCCACCCACATCCAGTCACTTCACATCCCACCTAAACCACTTTCCACCTCCACATCCACCCACATCCAGTCACTTCACATCCCACCTAAACCACTTTCCACACATCCAGCTCCACCACCACATCCAGTTCACATCCCACCCACTTCCACTCCACATCCACCCACATCCAGTCACTTCACATCCCACCTAAACCACTTTCCACCTCCACATCCACCCACATCCAGTCACTTCACATCCCACCTAAACCACTTTCACCTCCACACACATCCAGTCACTTCACATCCCACCTAAACCACTTTCCACCTCCACATCCACCCTCATCCAGTCACTTCACATCCCACCTAAACCACTTTCTCACCTCCACATCCACCCACATCCAGTCACTTCACATCCCACCTAAACCACTTTCCACCTCCACATCCACCCACATCCAGTCACTTCACATCCCACCTAAACCACTTTCCACCTCCACATCCAGTCACTTCACATCCCACCTAAACCACTTTCCACCTCCACATCCACCCACATCCAGTCACTTCACATCCCACCAAACCACTTTCCACCTCCACATCCACCCACATCCAGTCACTTCACATCCCACCTAAACCACTTTCCACCTCCACATCCACCCACATCCAGTCACTTCACATCCCACCTAAACCACTTTCCACCTCCACATCCACCCACATCCAGTCACTTCACATCCCACCTAAACCACTTTCTCACCTCCACATCCACCCACATCCAGTCACTTCACATCCCACCTAAACCACTTTCCACCTCCACATCCAGTCACTTCACATCCCACCTAAACCACTTTCCACCTCCACATCCACCCACATCCAGTCACTTCACATCCCACCTAAACCACTTTCCACCTCCACATCCACCCACATCCAGTCACTTCACATCCCACCTAAACCACTTTCTCACCTCCACATCCACCCACATCCAGTCACTTCACATCCCACCTAAACCACTTTCCACCTCCACATCCATCCACATCCAGTCACTTCACATCCCACCTAAACCACTTTCTCACCTCCACATCCACCCACATCCAGTCACTTCACATCCCACCTAAACCACTTTCCACCTCCACATCCAC